TCATTCTTTCCTTCCCTCCTTCCTTCCTTCCTTCCTTCCTTCCTTCCTTCCTTCCTTCCTTCACTCTTCATAAAGCAACCCAAGGGAGATAAGCACTGCCATTACATTTAAAAGATTCATTCAAGAACATGGATATTCAAGAATTGTCAGGCAAACCATCTAAAACCAATCTTAACCCCATCTTTGTAGATACTGACCAATCCCCACCAAAGTGCATCTGCATAGGTTTCAAACTCTTTCGTCTGTTTCCCATCCTCGTCCTCTTGAAACACATCCTTCTCCACCAGGTAAACCAGGAACGAAGAGAGGATGAGTGTCAGGAACCCGATGTACCAGGCAGTGATGAGCTCCTAAAAGAGAAGTATATCACCATAAACAAATGTGAGATGGCCTTAGGACACTATCCTACTGCCCTGAACATCATAGAATCATTGTAGGGTTGGAACTGACCTTGCAGGTCTTCTAGTCCAACCCCCTGCCCAAGGCAGAAGACCTCATACCATCCTGGACAGATGGCTTTCCAATCTTTTCTTGAAAACCTCCAGTGATGGGGCACCCACAATATTGGGATGTCACCTCTTCTAATTTTGGAAGCTAAGCTTTCCAAAGAGAGAGATGAGAGACCACAAAGAAACACCACAAAGCTCTAAGTATAGTTAAGGATAAGAACTTGCCTAGAATTCTTGCCTAGACGTTGCTGGTAGTCAAAGGTTGACAGTACAGTGGTGTCTCGCTTAACAACGTTAATTCGTTCCAGCGAAATCGCTGTAGAGTGAAAATGTCGTAAATAAAAAACCAATTGAAACGCATTGGAAACCATTCAATGCATTCCAATGGGCTAAAAACTAACCGTCCAGCGAAGATCCTTCATACGGTGCTCATTTTTGGTGTCTGTATAGTGTATAAGCACAGGGGGGAGCCATTTTGAACACCCGATGATCAGCTGTTTTGATCGTCGTAATGTGAAGAATCGGTTCCTGAAGCAGGGAACCGATCTTCGCAAAGCGGAAAAAAACCCATTTAAAACATTGTTTTGAGATTGCAATTGCGATCGCAAAAACATTGTTGTGAAGCAGATTCGTCGTAATGCAGGCTAATCGTTAAGCGGGGCATGACTGTACTGGACTAGAGGACCAATGATCTGATTCAGCAATTTATGCTCCCTGCCTTGAACAAGACCAGCGTTTGGGTATGTGGCTCCTACTTCAAGAGTCCGAAGGTCCCTGAAATCAGAGTCACTGTAACACTAGTCAGAGCTTAGACAGTTTATGTCTTGTCTTGCATTGCAACTCCTAAAGTCCACCTACAAGGAGATGGCCAGGGGCTTTGCTGACTGGTGGATTCTTGGGAGTTGTAGTTCAACCCTACCACCCCATTTCCCCCCCAAGCTCTGCCACCACTATCAGTCCGCCTTTCTTTTCTTCTATCCAGATCTTCTCATCCTTTTCACTTACTTTGCTATGTGCGCAAATGGCCGATCCCAGAAGCTTCCAGGTGCCCCCCCTCCTGTCCATCCGTAGCATCCGCAGGATCTGAAGGAAACGGAGACTTCTCAGTGAAGTAGCCAGGACGTTGCCTTGGTTGCCAACAGCCACCACTGGCACAGAGGCGATCAGTACGAAGATATCTGTGGAGCCAAAAAGAACTCCAAAGGACAAGTCCGGACAAAAATGGCGGACCCTTGGGACTGTGTTTTATGAAATGATGGAAGGGAATCTCCAGGATCCAGGTCTAAACCGGACCAACAAGGGTTCGAATCTAGATCACCAGAGGAGGCTCCCCAATGATCCTGTCCTACTTTGCAAAGCCCACATCAACCCTGATCCTCACCCCTTTTACATGGAGAGATGATCCTGCTGCCTTTTCAATGACATTCCCAAAGGGCTCTTGGGAATGCCGACTGAGAAAGCATCCCTGCCTTGTCCTTCTCCCTTGGTGGGGAGAAAGAAGTAGGAATGAGATGAAGAACATGGTGAAGCCCAGGTTGACCTAAGAACCTGAGGATAGAACAGAGGTTCATTCTGAGTCACAGAACACAAAAACCACACCTTCTCAATCTCCAGTTTCTGGCTTCAATGGCCAAGTCATTCCACAGAATGACCAGACCATCCGTGCCTCCAAACCACTTCCAGTGTTCATTTTTCCCCCCCATCACACTTATTTCACTAAAAGGAAGATCACCCTCAAATCACACTCAAGAACCCCATACCACAGGAGGTGGTGATGGCATCTGGCCTAGAGGCCTTTAAAAGGGGATTGGACAGATTCCTGGAGGAAATGTCCATTGCAGGTTACAAGCCATGATAGGGATGGACAATCTCCAGGCTTAGAAGGAAGGTACGTCCAAATTTCAGATGCAGGGGAGGGGGATAAGGTCTCTTGTGGTCTCGTGTGCTTCCAGAGACATCTGGTGGAGCCACTGTGGGATACAGGGAGCTGCACTAGATGGGCTCTTGGCCTGATCCAGCAGGGCTCTTCTTAGGTTCTTACAGCCATACCCCAAATGGCAAAGAAACAAGTGTCCTGCAGGACAGTTCCAGGATCATCTTGTCTGTGCAACACATTCTCTCCCTTTCGAAGAATCATGCCTCTCTTCCTTAAACAAATGCACCTCTCTTCTGCACGTGCCCACCTATACATACACACAAGGCATTCTGGGGCAAGGAAATGAAGATGGTGGTGCTTAGCTGCCTGGTAGATCGCTTCGCTTTGCAGGCATGCATGATATACCACCATTTCAATGTGACTATGACAATCCTGTCTGAGTTTGATAGCTAGGCAGAGGTGGTCCTGGTGAATACTTGAATGGAGGGCCACCAGAAATGTTTTACTAGGGAAGAGTTGATGCTCAGGTTTGGATCATGATTTTAAGTTCAGTTCCTGGGATGTAGGCAACGAAAGAATCCTGTCTGAAACCCTGAGAGATGTTTTCCCAATTCTTCCTATATACCAGAGAGGAGACAGTGTATAATATAACAGGAAAAGGATTAGGACAGGAAAAGGATTAGGCATAGAACAAGGTTTCTGTGGACATATCAAGGATCCCAAGTTAGGACTCTAGTTTTCTACAGGTGAACAAAGCATGGATTTCTGATTTCATAGAAGGCAGCAAGAAACGGATCTGTGCTTACCCAACATACACAGGGGCTTCCTGGCAAACTTCAGCCTCCCTCGCCATCCTTTGTATCGGCAACAGCAGCCGGCGGCCCAAATCCTTAAGGCAAACTCTGCTCCAAAGATGAAAATAGCAAAGGTTTCCTATGCCAAAAGCGGGGAACAAAATAAGAAAACCAGGCAGGGAAGTATTTGTTGAGATTTTGATATGAAAATATATTAAATATTAATGTTGTATGGTAAAGGTTCCCCTAGACATTTAGTCCAGTCGTGTCTGACTCTAGGGCATGGTACTCATCTCCATTTCCAAGCCATAGAGCAAACGTTTTGTCTGAAGACAGTGTCCATGGTCACGTGGCCAGCGCGACTAGACACGGAACGCCATTACCTTCCCACCGAGATGGAACCTATTTATCTACTCACATTTACATGCTTTCAAACTGCTAGGTTGGCAGGAGCTGGGACAAGCGATGGGCGCTCACTCTGTCGCGTGGATTTGATCTTACAACTGCTGGGCTTCCGACCTTGCAGCACAGAGGCTTCTGCAGTTTAACCCACAGCGCCACCACATCCCTTTGTATAGTAAAATGTAAAATGGCTGATTTTACCTGAGTCACTGTACTGATTGTATTCAGGTGTGGGTAACAAGGATTAAGACTTAATGATGAACAGCTGAGTACATGATGAAACTTTGTGTAACAGAAAATGAAGTAATGTATTTTCTGATTGGTCACAGAACTGTACATGTCATGTGTAAAATGAACGTCTTTATTTGCTGTAAGTCAGATCACTTTTTCCTATGCTGTGTGTTGCTTCATGTCATGTTATATTGCCAGAGGAATGTCTATTCTCTATTCTCCTCTGTAGATAGACTAAGTTGTTGGTCTCACTCTCTCGGTGTCATTGTGTCATAAGTATCTCTGCTAACCAATATCTCCTTACTCTGCTGATGTTATGAGAATACACATTATAATCAAAATTCTCAACAGTATTACCGGAGAGCCACAAATGTTAAGGAATTGAAAGAAATGTTTGGAATGAGGACAGCACTGCTGAGAGCAATGCTCTAAAAGCCAAAGTAATATTCTGGGGACTCCCTTTATTAGAACTTCCCATGATGCAAAAGAACTGAGAAGGTTATTCACTGCACCAAGATTCATGCGCTCTGCAGTGGTGCAGAGATAAATCTCAGAGTGCAGTTGCCGATCACAACAGCTCCCGTAATCATACTGTACCTCCAAAGAAGACACCAAAAATGCAGGCAGCTGCACTGATCCACATCACCAAACTAGTTTTAATAGATGCGATCTTTTGCAAAGTTTACGAGTCTTAACTGCCTAATCAAGATCAGACCAAACCAAGAGAGATTGCAACAGGGCTAGCTTACAACCTGTGTTCCCACTTTCCCTATGAAGATGTGGTTGAGCTCAGCAGGAATAAGAAAGCTGGAGAGGAGTGATAGAGACTCTACTCTCTTTTGCACCTTTTTGTAGAAGCTTCACAATCAACTAACAATTCCTTTACTGCAAACCAGAATCTTCTGGTTGCATCGTTAGTTTGCGAAAGATTTGTATGATCAGAAGAGAAACCATCCTTCCTCCCTCCTTGTTCAATGTTTTTATGAATGATCTAGCTCCTTATTTAGCAAACGGGGTGGTCACCCTCCCAAGTTAGGGGAATACTCTGTTCTGCTACTGCTTTATGCAGATGATGCCGTCATTATCTCATGCAACTAACCTGGTCTGAAACATTTGATTAATAGATGTGTGGAGTATTTGAACAAAAACAAAATCCGATCTGGACAAGGTCCATTTTATGTTATTTGTGGAGGTGGTCGACATTATGGAAGAAGTAGCTGTTTTTCTTGGGTCAATTGTCAGGAGGCGAAGCCCTGACCTTGAATGAATATATTTGTTTCACACCCGCTGTGAATCCAGAAATCTAACAAACTAGACTGACTATATTTTATATGCCAATAAAGGTTTATTATTATTATTGTTAGTTTCCCACTGCAAATATTTGATGATCATATCAAATTGCTCCATTCTTTTTTTCCATCTATCTCCCATTCACTGCTTCTTACCCTTTTGTTTCCCATGAATCCCCCTAAGTAGGAACTGGGAGCTGGGAGCTGCTGTCACCTGCTTGTTAAGCTTGGGTGATGTGAGAATGGGACATGCATGGACAGGACTGAGGAGCAGGAAGGGACGTCTGGATCTCCATATGTGGCGGGCATCTTCTCATGATGAACTTGTCTTCTTTATGGTTTTTTCCACCCATGGAGAACTGGCTGGAGGTGGCATGTGCATTTGGAGAGAAGGGGTTCATACCCTTCTAGCACCAAAGGCTTGGGCCCCCTAAATTTTATCACTCTGAATCAACTTCCTAGTCACTCCACTCTAGTTATGGCTTGTGTTCTATTGTCTGTTTGAGAGCTAAAGGTAAAGGTTCCCCTTGACATTTGTAGTCCAGTCATGCCCAACTCTAGGGGGCGGTGTTCATCCCCATTTCCAAGCCGTAGAGCCAGCGCTTGTCCAAAGACAGTTTCCATTGTCACGTGGCCAGCGTGACTAGGGAGCGCTGTTTTACCTTCCCACCAAGGTGGTACCTATTTATCCACTCGCATTTACATGCTTTCGAACTGCTAGGTTGGCGAGTAGCTGAGACAAAGCGACGGGAGCTCACTCCGTCACATGGATTCGATCTTATGACTGCTGGTCTTCTGATCCTGCAGCACAGGCTTCTGTGGTTTAGCCCACACCGCCACCACGCTAAGGAGCCTTAAATGAGTGGAAGGACCCATCACCACCACCCAAGCTGAGGAGCCTTAAACGAGTGGAAGGACCCATCACCACCACCCAAGAGTCCATGGGACAGACAGTTTCTGTGGAAGTGGCCATATGCCCATATTTTCTGGGATTCTGGCTGCAGTTGCATGTCAACTTTCCCCACTCATGCACACTAACGCCATGTTCCCCATCCAGGCACTGGCAGCTTAAACATTCTTCATACATAGCCCTAGGATTTGGGACGGCTTCACTTTTGACAGGTAAAGACAGGAGGGAAGCAAAACTTTTTCCCACCATTATTTCCAGTTCACAATCAGAGATAACAATCACAACTTATAATTATTGCATTGCTGCTGGCCTTTTGAATTAGGACCGAGAATAGAGAATGGGTGGATCTCACTGCGATCAGAAAGAACAACAGGTTTCACTTGTGTACCTATTACACCATGCAGAGTGGTTGTTCAATTAACTGTTTCGTTTCTTTAATTTCCCATCTTGATAATGTATCTATCCACTCGTTAGTTGCTTGTATTATTAAGTTTTAATAACTATATTACTCTACTGTATTTTATCATTTTTTTGTAAGCTGCCCCGAGTAGACTCTGTCTAGAGGGGCGGGGTATAAATCTAAATATTCTTGGACTACAACTCCCAGATGTCCTGGCCAACACAGCTAGTGGTGAAGACCTCTGGGAGTTTTAGTTCAAGCACATCTGGGGACCTAACTATGGGAACCTCTGATGGTGGATGTCAGAAGGATGTCAGAAGGATGTCAGAAGGATGTCCCTACTCTAGGGTGTGTAACTTGGGGGAAGGAGTGTGACTTAGGAACTTCTTGTGAGTTCTTTGAAGACCAGATCTTCTTTTAACACTCTGATCATCTCAGCCCTCCGACTCCTTCTGTACTTACCAACAGCAACAGCCAATTTCCCGAAGCCGTTTCATATTCTTTGAATGTTGTCAGGACAGCTAAAATCAAGCATCCCAGAACTATCAGGAACCTAGGAGATAAGGATGGAAACAAGACATTAGTAAATGTTATTTCCCCCCTGCATATAAGTCCCAGCAAGGATTTCATTCAAAAAGTAAACATGAAAATAAGGCAGCTTTCACGCTATGTATACTAACAATGAAAGAGATACAGAAATCAATGGGTCAATATCCAAAGGTCTCTCACAAGCCTGGAACAATACTATTCTAAGGATGTTGGTTATTTTAGTTATTATAAGAAAGCAGATGCATCTCAGCTGCCTTGGCCAGTAAACGGGAGGTATCCAGCAGGGGATTAAACTGGAAGAAAACCATCACTTCCATGCACTGCTCAAGGTGTGCAGTAAATCAGGCAATAATTCAGCATATTTAGGAATGTACAGGTTGCTGAAAATGTTTATGGGCTACTAGCTCTTCTTCTCATTGAATTTTGTTTTCTCACAACTCCCAATGAAGATAGAAGGCATTTGTCCAGACCACTCAGTAGAAAGCTTTTTGACTGTGCCATTCCTTTGGACCACACATAGGAAGGGGAAAGTTACATGCTGAAAACTAGATTGTTTTCCCTTCAGATAAGGATGGAAGGACATCTACCAGTGATCCTCACCCCCCCATGGTTCTCCAGATGTTTGAAACTCAATTCCCAGATCTCTTAACCATTGTCAGCCATGTTGGTTGGAACTTCTTCAAGTTGAAGTCCAAAACAGCTGGAGTACCAAATGTGGAAAATCACCGATGTAGACCAGTTTTCTCAAGTCTAGAGCCATGGTGCGCTTTTAATGGTATGGATTTCATTTCCTGTGATGCCTCACCATTGCTCAGGGGACTGCCAGTTGAAACACTGGGAAGGCACAAGGGTGGGGAAGGATAAACATTTGGAAAAAAAAAATTGGGACTGTAAACTTTCAAAGTCCTCTAGACAGCCTGGTCAATGCACAGGGATTCTCCAAAGGCTGAAAATCAAGACTGAGAAGCACTGAGAAACATCCAGAAAACCACTCTTTCATTTCATAATAAAATGTCCTATCCATATGGTTCTTTCTCAGATAATGAAAATGTAAATTTTAAATACTACAACTTGCATTACAAGTGGCTGGGGATTCTGGGAGTTGTAATCTTAAAAAACATTTCCACCTCTGTTCTCTTCATCTAGGGCATGAAGCAGAGCGATACCCCTTCACCATTGCACGTCCTATTGGCTTCCCCTCACATGTCTATGTACCATATGAAGACTTCTGCCTCGGACAATGGGAAGCCAAGTGCCCAGTGCACAAGGGTCAAGAGGAACCCTTCCATCGTTCATGAATTTCTCCTTACAAATGGAGGACAATTTTCGGATCAGTTCTGATGGCTTCCGGATTTCTAGAAACTGTAGAATTTTGTTGCACAGACAGCACTATTGTTTATTTTCTGTTGTATTTTGGCACTTGGCTTCCCATTTTCCAAGGCAGAAGTCCTCATGTGGTACATAGACATGTGGGGAGAAGCGGCTCAGAGAACCCGTTATTGGGAAATGTTATGAAGAAACACCAATAAAATGTTGAGCTACCACCGTATGTGAAACTGTGTCGGCAGACACTGTCAAGAAGAACTGAATTCATTCCTGTTTCCACCAACATATCTACATATGCATAGAGACTACTGATCAGAAAGCATCATCCTCCTCCCTTCCTCAAGAGGAAGAGTGCTTTGCTCTGGCCACAGGGAGGCAGCAAATATCTTTGTACTAAAGGGAGAACTTGCCTTTGATAGGAACAGAAACATAACCTAAGTAGAATTATATGGTTAATGTATTGAAATAAACCCATACTAAATGCTCTTCCCCTCTCCGTTCGTGTTATGCATTTTTATAAAACAGGAACCATTATTGTTTAAAAGGTTCTCCCTTTTTTTATCTACTAGAAAGCACATCTCCCTGTATGAGCCTGCTTGGGTTTTAAAATCATCCGGGGAGGCTGTGTCTCCCCATCCAAGCACTGTCACAGGTACATTTGGCGAAGACACAAGAGAGGGACTTCTCTGTCACTGTTCCCAAAATATGGAACTCCCTCCCATCGGAGTCCAGGCTGGCCCCCTCTTTGCTGTCCTTCCAGCAGACAAAGGCCTTTCTCCATATTGTTTGTTTTAATACTGCAAGCCACCTTGGGATATCTTGAGGAGTAAGATGAGGGTATATATTTTAAATAAATAATAAATAACAGAGCCGTGCTGTGAAGGAATTCGGAGAACTGAGGTCCAAGTAGAGAGAGAGAAACATTTTGAAGCCCTGTTTCCAACACTCATAAAATCTGTCTACCTTAACCTCTCCCAACCTTAGGCTACAAATCACATCATAGCCAGCCTTTGCCATAGTTGGCTGGGGATGATGGGGGTTGTAGGCTAAGAAACCTGGGGGACACCCAGCTGAGTTGTCCAGGTTGCATAGCTCACACTACGATCACACTCTTCATTTGATATTATGACTGCCAAATGAAAGCCTGGGCCACCCAAAACCCTAAGAGTTGACTTGTCTACCTTAACCTCTCCCAACTTGGTGACCTTAGGCTACAAATCACATCATAGTCATGGGGATGATGGGGGTTGTAGGCTAAGAAACCTGGGGGACACCCAGCTGAGTTGTCCAGGTTGCATAGCTCACACAACGATCACACTTTTCATTTGATATTCTGACTGCCAAATGAAAGCCTGGGCCACCCAAAACCCTAAGAGTTGACTGTTACGAAAATGATTTTTATGTAGTCTCTTTTCTTTTGTGTGTAAATTTCCATAAGATCTTTCAGTTAGCAACAGGATAAATAAAACTGTCCTTGCATATTATTATTATTTTTAATCCCATGGACCAGTTTCAGGGGGTTTCTTGGCATGAAAACTTTGGAAATGGAGTTCATTTAACAGAAAGTGTCGCTTCAGACTAGGACACGGGAGACCTGGGTTCAAATCCCCACCTAGCCAAGAAGCCTCAGAGATGCAGATAGCATATTAAAACATTCCTCAAAAACCCTTCCAGGGTTGCCATAGGCCACAAGCAACTGACTTGCTCTATGCTACAGATCTTAGGGAGGTAAAATACATAACATTAAAAGAAACTAATACCATTTCAATATTTTAAAATAATTAGAAAATTATAAACATACTAGGACATCTCAGTATGAGATCTCAGTATCATATCTCAGTATACTAAGACATCTCAGTATCAGAATTGATGCTTTTGAATTGTGGTGCTGGAGGAAACTCTTGAGAGTCCCCTGGACTGCAAGAAGAACAAACCTATCCATTCTGAAGGAAATCAACCCTGAGTGCTCACATTAAAAGAATACCATTTCAATATTTTAAAATAATTAGAACATTATAAAACATACTAAGACAGCTCAGTAATGATGGCAAGACAGCAATAGCCTCAAGGACTGTAGACCAAGGCCTATTTTGTTTAATCAACCAATAGGTGAGCAGCCAGTTCCTAACCAGTCAGGCTTCCCAGAGGATGGCATTTCTCAGCTCGGGCACTTCAGATCAGAAACTCCTGTTCTCCGTCTTCGTGTGATGTTCCTCTCTCCTTAGTGAGACACATAATAGGCTTTCACTTCTCTCTCCTTCCCTCCCATACCACTGCAGTATTCAGGAGCAGGATGTGATGGCTGGACAGTGTCACCGAAGCGACCAACATGAATTTGACCCAACTACGGGAGGCCGTGGAAGACAGGACAGCCTGGTGTGCTCTGGTCCATGGGGTCACGAAGAGTCAGACATGACTAAATGACTAAACAACAACAAGACATCTCAGTAACTATGGCAAGATGGCAAATGCTTCAAGGACTGTAGACCAAGGCCAAATTTGTTTAATCAGCCAATACTTAGGTGAGCAGCCAGTTCTTAACCAGTCAGGCTTCCCAGAGGATGTCATTTCTCAGCTCGGGCACTTCAGATAAGAAAGCCCTCTTCTCCGTCTTCATGTTCCTCTCTCCTTAGTGAGACACATAACAGGCTTCCACTTCTCTCTCCTTCCCTCCCATAACATTGCAGCATTCAGGAGCAGGATGTGAACACCACGGCTTTCCAACCACCCACCACTTGTGCTCAGTAAATCTAAGTGAGGTGTCATGAGTAAGCCAACGTAAGGCAGATACCAGTCATGGCGAACCCACTCAGTTATCCAAGAGTGCTGGATGCTGCTACCAGACCTGAGACTGAGAATTATATTAAAGAGACATGGAAGCTGACACTGCCTGTGCTGTCTATATTGATTTGTTCAGACAGTATACAGTATTGTTTTTTTTTTAAAGGATTTGAAGTGTTAGAATAACAACAGGCAAGGGAAAGCTGCTTTGTGGAAATGCATAAGAAAATTTTTGTCATGCATATAGAACTCACAAAGCACTGATTTCATTGTGCCATTCTCTATTCTAACCAAAGGAAATGCAGAGCTTGGAAAAGTTGTTTTTCAGGACTACGTTCGTTCGTTTAGTCGTTTAGTCGTGTCCGACTCTTCGTGACCCCATGGACCAGAGCACGCCAGGCCCTCCTATCTTCTACTGCCTCCCGGAGTTGTGTCAAATTCATGTTGGTTGCTTCGCAGACACTGTCCAGCCATCTCATCCTCGGTCGTCCCCTTCTCCTCTTGCCATCACACTTTCCCAACATCACGGTCTTTTCCAGGGAGTCTTTTCTTCTCATTAGATGGCCAAAGTACTGGAGCCTCAACTTCAAGATCTGTCCTTCCAGTGAGCACTCAGGGTTGACTGGTGGGCTACAACAGGACTACAACACCCTCTAATCCCTCAGCTTTAGGGGTTGTAGTCCCCCAAACTAACTCTTCCAAGTCTCAAGTCTTTAGGATCAAGTCTTTCAGAGACCAGGATACTAGTGGCATTTCATGGTGGCTGTGTATTTCGAAACCAAATGGGTACAACATGTTGAACTCAAGCAGGTCTGAAGCCAAGGGGCATCACTAGTCCTGAGTTAGTAGCTGTCAGCACTGAAACTTCTTTGGAGCCCAATGATTCTTGCCTAGTCAGCTCAAACGTGACAAAACCTTTGTCACTGCCTGATACCTGTCACTTATTGCCACTGGCTGCTTCCCTCACCTGTCCCTTTTCTTGCCCTTCCTGCATTCATGCCAAGCTCTACATCAGTTCTAATTTTTCAATGGCAGAAAGTAGCTCTAGCATGAGGGACAGGCACCCACTTGCTTGTGCTTCCAAACTTTCCATCTCCTGATCAGTACAGCATCCAACAGTGATTGGCAGGTGTCAGTGAACCAATGAAAGAGACTAAGCAACAAACCAGAGAGCAATCCTATTGCTTCAGACACAATGGTTTTCAACAGGGTTGTGTTACACATTTCCATCTCATGTGATGAGAAATAAAAAAAAAGTACAGTCGTGCCCTGCTTAACGATTGTCTCGCTTAACGAGGAAATTGCTTTACGATGAGGTTTTTGCAATTGCAATTGCGATTGCAAAACGATGGTCTAAATGGGGGAATTTTGCTCAGCGATGATCGGTTCCCTGCTTCGGGAACCGATTTTCACTTTACGACAATCAAAAACAGCTGATTGCTGGGTGAAGAAAATGCCCCCCCCCGCTGTGCTTAGGGATGGATTCCTCGCTGCACAGGCATGGAAAATGGACGCCTCTATGGAGGATCTTTGCTGGACGGTGAGTTTTCAGCCCACTGGAATGCATTAACCGGGCTTTAATGCGTTTCAATTGGCTTTTTTATTTCGTTTGACGATGTTTTTGCTCTACAGCGATTTCGTTGGAACGAATTAACATCGTCAAGCGAGGCGCCACTATATATCAAAGTGAGAACAGATCCTTACTTGCCTTAAAAAGAAGGGAACATGGCCTTAGTTTTTCTTTGCTAATGTCAGCAATGTATTTGCTCAATTGTCACAACATTCCCTTATGTTTTGGGTATTCTTACCAACTTTTTCATATAACAAATGTGTGTTTGAGATGCTTGTGGGTCCATGCCCCTGTCTTCCATCCCTGCTAATGGCTGGCATCAAGCTATCCCCCCTATGCATGTGAGTCTATGTGTAGAGTCTCTGTTTACACTGGCTAACCAAACCAATATAGCTAATAAGCTTTCAACATTTATTATTTAGGACTATAACTCCCAGAAATATCCAGCATGTCTGGCCATAGCCATACATGGCCATACTGGCTGACAAATTCTGAAAGATATCGTCCAAAATGTAGATTTTCCACATTCTGGGCAGGGGAGAGAGGAAATCAACACAGCAAAATTTAGGCCCTTAGCTTTTAAAGTAATTCATTTCCTTTATCCATGACAAT